TGGACATCTAACGCAGTGGATGCCAGTGAAAACGAGGAACGATCTGAGGCTAAAATAAGAAAGAGCAAGTGAAAAATTACTTAGACAAGTTAGATGTCTTCAAGTCACCAGGATCTGATGAAATACATCCTAGAATATTCAATGAGCTGAGAGGAGATATCTGAAACATTAGTGATTATCTTTGAAAAGTCATGGAAGATGGGAGAGATTCTGGAGGAAGGGAAAAGGGCTAATATAGTGCCAATCTATAAAAAGGGGAATAAGGACAACCCCGGGAATTACAGACCAGTCAGTTTAACTTCAGTACCCAGAAAGATAATGGAGTAAATAATTAAGCAATCAATTTGCAAACACCTGGAAGATAATAAGGTGATAAGTAACAGTCAGCATGGATTTGTCAAGAACAAATAATATCAGACCAACCTAATAGCTTTCTTTGACAGGGTAACAAGCCTTGTGGATAGGGACAAACGGTAGATGTAGCATATCTTGACTTTAGGAAGGCTTTTGATACTGTCTCACCTGACCTTCTCATAAACAAACTAGGGAAATACAACCTAGATAGAACTACAATAAGGTGGGTGCATAACTCACTGGAAAACTGTTCCCAGAGAGTAGTTATCAGTGTTCACAGTCAAACTGGAAGGGCATATCAAGTGGGGGTCCCACAGGGATCAGTTCTGGGTCCGGTTATGCTCAATATCTTCATCAATGATTTAGATAATGGCATCGAGAGTACACTTATAAAATTTATGATAAAAGTTGGTATGATACAATACCAAGCTGGGAGGGGTTGCAAGTGCTTTGGCAGATTGGATTAAAATTCAAAATGATCTGAAAAAACTGGAGAAATGGTCTGACATAAATAGGATGAAATTAAATAAGGACAAATGCAAAGTACTCCACTTAGGAAGGAAAAATCAGTTACACACATACAAAATGGGAAATGATTGCCTGGGAAGGAGTACTGAGGAAAGAGATCTAGGGGTCATAGTAGATCACAAGCTAAATATGAGTCAATAGTGTAACACTGTTGCAAAAAAAGCAAACATCATTCTGGGATACATTAGCAGAAGTGTTGTAAGCAAGACAAGTAGTAATTCTTCTACTCTACTCCAAGGTCATTATGCCTCAACTGGAGTATTGTGTCCAGTTCTGGGCAATGCATTTCAGGAAAGATGTGGACACATTGAAGAAAGTCCAAAGAAGAGCCACAAAAATGATTAAAGGTCTAGAAAAATAACCTGTGAGGGAAGATTGAAAACATTGGGTTTGTTTAGTCTGCAGAAGAGAAGACTGAGAGGGAACAGGATAACGTTTTTTTCAAGTACATAAAGGTTATTACAAGGAGGAGGGAGAAAACTTGTTCTCCTTAACCTTTGGAGGATAGGACAAGAAGCAATGGGCTTAAACTGCAGAAAGGGTGGTTTAGATTGGACATGAGGAAAAACTTCCCAACTGTCTGGGTAGTTAAGCACTGGAGTAAACTATTTAGGTAGCTAATGGGAGGTAATCATTGGAGATTTTTAAGAACAGGTTAGACAAACACCTGTCAGGGATGGTCTAGATAATACTGAGTCCTGCCTTGAGTATAGGAGACTGACGAGGAGACCTCTCGAGGTCCCTTGCAGTTCTGTGATTCTATGAACTACTGGAATGAACACAGGTAAAAGCCCCACGAGAACACAGTGTATGTATGTATACAGGCATATATGTTTTGTCTCTGCAGGCTATATCAGAGTTCAGTATTAATGTATTATTATGTTAGCAACTCTGAGAACAGAATGTCTGCTTCTAGACTCTTCAGAAGAGTTCTTAGAAATTAAAAAAATCAGAAGAAGATCTCCATGTGTGTCACGTAATGGTTTTTCTTCTCTCCTTTCATGCTCTCACACCAGTCAGATCTGTAGCCTGTGCTCGATGCACACATGACACCTCCAAGACCTGGATATGGCTTGAGAAGTATGGGTAGATTACCACTTCTTTAGATTCCCTACATTTCCCTGAAAATGGTGCCATTCAACCTTGATGTTTGAGGAAAAAGCAAAACAATGCTAACAGGAGTCAGATGTTTATTTGCTCTATTGAAATAACCCCCCTCCGCACCCACCCACCCACAAACATTTCAAAACCAAAACCTGACATCAGTACTCAAAATATATTTAAGACAAGACCATGTATAAAGGCTTAAAACCCAAAGAGTTTACTGCTCTCTGGAGTAAGGTTTCTTTTATTAGTATTTATTCCCACTTTAATTGAATTTTTAAAAGTAACCAAAATTACAAAGACCACCAGCACTGTAAAAAAGAAAAAAGTCTCCCAGGGTTTGCAACTCTGCCCCCTCAGTGTTCTGGAGTCCAGATGTGAAGGGTCTATTGGAGATGAACACGTTGGAAGGAGGAGAGAAAGATTTGATGCTACTGCTCTAGCCTCATTTTATTGAAACCATACAGGTACCTGTCCTTATTAGGACTATTATACTTCAGCTTGTTAAAGTGGCAGAAATTGTTTTTCTGCTACTTTATTGCCAACTATTACTTCATATTTTTAAAAGGGGACCTACACAGAAAATATAAAATGACCTGGGATTTCTTTGTTCATAATCAAAAGGCCTAAAAACTGTCATCTCTATTCCTTCTCTGAAAAATATTTGTTGTTCTTGTATTATATTTCAGATATACCAGGAATATCAAGTCTTATCTTCCCAGGTTTTGCTGTAGAACCATAGAGCTAGGGTGGAGGCTTTCAGCCCTTAACTGAAAGGGCTGGGAAAGATTTTAATCCCATCTGTTTGTCCAGAATTTGCCTTAAATATGTTTTTTTTTTAAATTTTTTTTAAAGTCCGAATAAAAACCCCTATCCCTTCTCGAAGATTCAGATTTCACTCTCTTGGTACTTATGATATCCAATCCTAATAGTTCTTTAGTCATCCATAGAGACCTCTACGGAAAACAGAGCAGAGACCACCTGATTTTGTAACATTAAAACATTCAAAAAGACATTTTCGTTTCCCTTGCAGATCATTTTCCCTTATGATCGAGTGCCAAATTCTGGTGACACTTACACCACTACAACTCCCCACAAACAACCCAGGCTTATCTTCATGTAAATGACTGACAAATCTGGGCCTGAATGACTAAAACCCAATCAGATTTGGGGTGAAGATGATAGGAAGAATGAATGGTGTTCCATAGTGTTGCAAGCACTGATTAGTATTAATTACTTGTACAGTGGTAATATCCATAGGCCTCAATTAGGACTGGGCCCCAGCGTACTTGAAGATGTATAAAAATACAGGCAGACATTATCCCTGCTCCAAAGATACCATCCATTGTGCCAGCTAATGTATGCGTGCATGCATCTATATCCTTCCTCTCATATTAAATAGCAATCTATTGGTGGGTAAAGAGACTGTAGTTAATCCTGTAGTTTCTGTACAGTTCACTATTGATGAAGCACGCCGTCAACACATTTCCTGAGACAAGATGGCAATTTTAACACAGCAGAGAGATGAAAAGCTGCATTTGATACATTCATTCATTTGGTTTCTGCTTCATTCTCTGATTGAGAGAGAAATCAGGATATAACAACCTCCAATGTATGTATTTTTTCCACTAAATCTGGCTTGTTGAATGGATAGGAAACTTATTTTTATATTTACTATATTCATAACATGTCAAAAACAATTTGTTGTGGAGGCATCACAGACTAAGGAGAGAACAACCCCACACTCTATATGGCTTTACACCTGGAATACTGTATTGAGCTAAGTAATGACAAGGGTAGACATGATAAAAGTCTATAAATAGTTGAAGAATGTAAACACTAAGCAGCGAGAGGAATTGTTCAAAGGTGGCACAATAGAGTTTAACTAGCATGAATGAGAAAAGAAATAAAAGGGTGCTGGTTAGGCTAGATAGCAGTAAAATTTCCAGACACCAAAATCTGAGTACGGGATGCTGCATACCACCTATGTAGGAGAAGCTCCAACTAACTGTGGGTTTGTCTATACTTGGAAATTTACCAAAATTGAAGTTCTGGAATAGCTATGTTGATAAACTTCCAAGTGTGGACAAGCTATTTGGTTGCTGAATTGGGCCTTTGCACTCAAGAATACTCTCCCATAGAATTGACAGAAGTGCCATTGTTTAGGATATTTAGAACTAGACTGGATGAAAGCCCTTGAAATGTAGAGGAGGGAACAATCTTGAACTGACAGGAGGATGGGCTAGGTAACTCTGATAGATTTCTCCTATATCTAATTTCTGTGACTGTGTGTGTGCATGCTGGATTTCAGAAAGGTCTTTTTAATAAGGGTTAATTGGAGTAGTATGTCACACATGACTGACTACTGTTTCAAATTACCGCTGATGCCTGCATAACTAAATCAGGCAAATGGGCAGAACATTTAAATAGAGAAAAGTTGATCTTCTTCCCCTCCTGTTTAATTCTAATACTTTCTTCATTATTCTTGCAATTACTACACCTTGGCAAGAATGAAGTTTATGAAATTTCAGTGCTTACTGAATGTAATAACGTTAACATAATAATAGTTCTGTGCAATTGGATAGCTTTGTAAAAGTTATGCTCTAGTTTAATCACAAGTTTATTGTGCAAAATATAGGAATCACTGGATGAATTACGCAGGCTATCAGACTAGATGATCATAGCCATCCCTTTCTGGTCTTAAAATCTGTGAATCTATGAAAAGTGTTAATAAATAATCTGTTTAGTTAGGACACTGTAATGAATCGAATAAAATCACCATACTGAACTCTGCAATATTAAACCTTAATCTAAAAACAAAAATCCTTGCTTAACCCCAAATAAGAACTTTTAGTTTAATCTCCAAAGTTAATTGCAAGTATTTCTGACATAAAAAGCTCAAGCAAGACTGCAGAAGGATACACACACACACACACACACGCGCGCAAAAAGCTCAGCCTCCAATCCCCACCCACCAGTCTCAGTCAAAGGATGACTTCAGTCCCTTTCTTAACTAATCCTGTCACTGTAAAATCCTACACTCATTCTTCCACGCACAGAGGGAAAAGGGACTCACTAGGAAGACCTAGTCTTTCAGTTTTAACTATTAACCAATAGTGGAAAAACAAGGATGCCTAAGTTATGCCTTCAGAGCCAATAGGGTGGATTTGTGTGTCCCACATGACAGCATTTCCCCTGTCTTTCACATGAGCAGTATTTAGTTGAATTCAGAATTGCAGATAGTACAGCTTGCACGGCAGCAATGGGATGTCTGAGCACAAGTGACTGACTTCCGAGTGACTTTATAAAACACTTTTGTACTTTCCTTCTGCATTAAATTGGGATCTGCATCCTTGACATTCACCCACCACACACATCTCTACTGAAGGAAACAGTGACTAGCACAGCTTAGCAGTATGAAACTGTGAGTATCGGTTTTTATTTTCCCCCTTAAAGTGTGCAGTGTAATGCTGTTTACATGTTGCATGCACCATATCTTTAAAATATGCTCTTTATTATTTTTCCCTGGCTATGGAGATTGAAAATTATCTAAAACAATTGGGAATCTTTCAGGAATATTTCCTGTAGGCTTCAGTAAAAAAAGAAGAGGGGAAAATCAGTTATCCCTAAGGGCAGTGTCTGCATAAAAGCTGCATGCCACACTGCTTCCTAACATAGCCAGTGTGCTGCTTTGTTCATAAAGAAAAAGGAAGGCAAAAAAGCCCCATGCATGTATGTTGTTCAGTTTTATTTGCACTCTGTGTTTACTCAGGCCTGATCTGTCCCTAATGGGGAAAAAATAAAGGCAAACTTTACTGTCTCTGCTGGCAAGGACAGTCCAGACTTTCCAAACATCTGACAGTTATTATAATTAGCCCTGAAAGGCAGCAAAGACACTATGGGGCAAATAGCTCTTATGTTTTGAACAATGAAATCAAGCAAAGTTCCATCCCACCTCTTTCAATGTTTGGGAGGGGGAAACGGACAGGGAGGGGGAAGAGAAAGGTTTATAGTTGCATTAAAAAAAAGGCAGGTAATAAATATTCAGTCTGGAATCGTTCAGTGTGAGGAGGGGCTTGGACAGGCTGCTTTAAACATTTCTGAATCCTGCCTTCTATTTAGAAAGAATTCACTCAGATTCCTGATGGGTTGGGAAGGGGTATGAGACTCTTCACAGCATAATGTCAGAAGGCGGGGGTGGGGGGAGAAATAATAAGCCATTCATAATGAGATGCATTTTGATAGCTTACCAAGATCTTTGCTCGCCAGGAGATCTCGGTAGATCTAAGTTGCTTTCTGTGTAAGATTTACTTACACGAGTTCTCAAACAGAAGCAACAGACAAAGCAGAGGTAGTTCTCCCCCGCATTCCCTAGAAACAAAATTGAACTCCAATAGATAATAGCACACTGATTTATCCTTTTGTATTTAAATTAAGAAATCCTTGAATAGTCCAAATCTTCTTTTAAAAAGTTACATTCTGAAAGTATTTTCACTGGACTAACAGAAAAGAAAAAAAGAGAAAAAAAGACAATGGAAACCTGATTCAGACCCAGTTAGTCTGGCTCTGTAAGAAAACATGGAGATGAAAACAGTTTGAGTGAAAGATTTTCATACTTATTCTTAAAAAAAAAAAAAAAGAAAAAAAAAGAAAGAAATTAATTCCAATAAGGAAAAATTGTTTAAAGGCTCAGCCACTACTAAGTATGGCTTAAATAAATCTTCCTGGGCAGATGTTCACGTGCTCCCATTGTGGAGAAAGGAACCCAAAGAATTTATTGTTTAAAAGGAGAACTTGACATGAATTTTCATATAATCTTTTTTAAGTACACCATTTTTTTCTTTGTCTGCTCTCCTGTTATCTACACCTCCCCCAACTGCCGCTCACTGTGAGCTGAGACACCTGAAGGCTAGACATAATGATCAACAGAGCGCTATGCTAGCCTCTCTGGATTCCAGCCAGATTTTTTCCCCTCTACAATCAAGGAGCCTGCACGCAATGCACGGCAAGCCTATTTCTCTGTTACGTGTAGACTAGGCACAGAAGTCTTACCCATACTGCAGAAACACTGAAGACAAAAATATCCCTTTTTTGTCTTACTCTGGGCAAATTCAGTTTTAAGTCTTGTATTATTTTAAATAATATATGAAAAAATGCATTTATAAATAGGTGTATGTATACATATATATGCGTGCACACACCAACAATTCTATAGCATGATGTACTATATCTCTATGCATGCACTGTACATCCAGTATCTTGATTTTTATAAACAGTATACTCCTGTATATGACGTATCTGTATTGCATACAGTATGTTGTTCAGATAGATCACATACACTTATGTAGAAACACTGTATGCATATACAGGATACTATGTATGTATATATGATATACTAGTAATTCAGGGACCTATTTTTGAAAATTTGAATCTTTAGAAAGAGATTAGGTTTTAGAGAGATTAACAATTCTCTCAGATTATTTTGAGCCCCTTCAAACCTAGTGGTATTCAAATACCAGTGGGTAAACCATGTCCAAATTGAGGGGGGTTAGTTGAGGTAGTCAGTCTGACTATGGGAATCTGGCCTTCCAATTGTCAGGCAGTTACTGCACTCCCTGGAGAAACACCGATTGGCTGTGTCTCATTACTTCCAGAAAGTTTGTCTTTTGAACACAGTACTCCCAAAAATAGCTACACACATTATTTTGGTGTGGTCAGGGGTGGGGTTAGCACAGACACCCATAGGAATGGAAGATTATTTTATTTCTTGAACCATTTTCCATTTAATTTTTAAATGTATACACTAGAAATTTTATTCTTTGAAATTCATGCATTTCATTGTCACTGGATACACGGTATAGTGATCTGGAAAAGGAAGTTTTTTTTTTAAATCAGATTACTCTGAGTAACACTTTAACACACTTACATACAGTACATACTTTTTTTTTTTAAACGCATCACCTGACAAGGTTTAAGAAAGTATGGTGTATTCAAAATATCAGCTGGCTTTTAGGAAAAAGATAAATGACTTTAGGTGATTTTCTTTTATTGTTGTTATCATTGTCATCACACTCACACTCTCTTCCCCCCTCCCCCAGCAAATAGTATACTAGATTTAGACTTGAAAACAGGACCCAAATATGGGTATCCCATATGTTGATTATTTTGGGTGAGCTGAACAGTTTATAAAACTTTCTAGTAAGTTGCTTAAAGAGGAAAAAAGAGAGAAAATAAGATTAAGTTGTACCTAATGACAACAGCATCCAGGTTTAATAGGGCTCCAGGTTTCTAGAGCATAATTCAAAGAAATGAAGACAGAGAACTTGATTGCTGTATTCAAACTATATAAATCCAAATTCTAATACAAATAATTAAACACTTTCCTGAAAGAATAATTTAATATATTTTATTTGAAAAGGTATAACATATCAGTAGCTACACTGATGGATATATCTGTGAAAAATATATACATATAACATGCATTCCCCACAATTTCATTATTTGCTAATCTTTTTTTTCCTTTTTCTGGTATTATCCTTGAAAATAAAACCATACATTGATATTTCACCTGTATAATTCAGAATCATTTTGTTAGCTATAGACTAAAGTGCTGATGTGTATTTTCTAAAGGTAATAATTATAATTAGTGGTTTTTTTCCATTTCCTATGGTCTAAAATGCTACAAAAGAATCAATTCTCCTACCAAACGTAAAATAGGGATTACACATGAGCTTTAAACTGGAGTGGATTTTTTCCAGCTAACAAATGAATATTGATGTACAGAATGTGCTTAACTGGAGTAGTTCATTTTTGAATCACAAGAACTATAAGCCAAAATTTTCATTTCTGGGTATTTACAGTTAGACCTGATGTACATATTTAAGTGCCTGAACAAAAGTGACTCCATTTTCATAAACACTCAGCAAACTCTGCCAAAATCAGTGTAAACTGCAGATTCACAGCATCTTTGAAAATAAAGCCAATTATATTGAAGCACCTAAATATGAATTTGGTTACAAAATTAGTCTCCCAGAGAGTCTAAATTTGAAAATTTTGGCTTCTGTTTCTTGCTAACTCACTTTTTCTTTAAACTTGTAAATAGCTGCTGATGCTGAAACAAAGCATTCATGAAAATTCACACATATTTATGACTCTAGTCCATGCAAAATGAGGAGTTTGATATCTGTTCCATATGGTCTGCTAGCCGGTGCACTGCGATTGGTTGTATAAACACTACAGCACAACGCATAGAAACTTCCAGTTCTAATGACTTTAAAAAAAGTATTGCCTCTGAGTGCCTCCTTTAAGTATAAATACAAACATCAAGCATGAGTAGAAACTACTTGGGATCACACAAGCCTTTCAAAAAATGGGTTGCTCTGTTGGTACCTTTATGTAGCAAAAGTAGGCTGGGAGTGACTGAAACCTTGCCTGCCAGAAATGCAGTCCAGCTCAGTAAGGCAGTGGGGTCAAATGAGCTCATGCATCACAGATAGGAAATGAACTGTGCATTGCATATTTATAGATAAAACCATTTAGGGTATTTTAATGTAAACAGATTTCCGTTTGATTTTTTGGCAAACTGTTGCAAAGATCAAGACTACAACGGAGTTTAAATGACTTTCGGCATGGTATAGTGAGACCAGATGGCCACGTGTTCTTTTCTTATTTAGATGAGAATTTTCCTTTCAATAACATCTTTCTTCCTGACCTGCTTTAAAATTCCAGCAAATGAAATCAGCACAGAATTTTCAATTCTAATTGACCATGTGCAGAGAAAGGGCCAGTACAGAAATCAGTAGAGCCATTGTGAGGCACGCTGCATCAGTCTCCCCTTTGTCTTGTATCCTTTCTAGCCAGAGCTGAAATAATTAAGAATATTTAATTTATATTAGTTATACAAAACTGCAAGGCTAGAAGTGTTCAGGCAAAATCACTGCAAGTTCCTCTTTCTATTGGAAGGACAAGAAAAAAGTTCTGTTTCACTCTCCAGGCAAACAGATCCTCTCCATTTATTCTTTGTCCAATATATAAAAACCTAAACAAATGCTCATTACCGTTAAGGGAAGGAACAAGTGAATTATAGAATGATGAATTTCTTTCCATTGTCTCTTGAAGTTGGAAGATGCAAGTGAGGTGGGACTTTTCAAATAAAAACAAATCTCAAATATTTTAAAATATTACCAGCAAAATGTAATTTCAAACTACTTACGTTTTTATAACTGCAGACACCAACATAACATCTAAAACATGTAATCATTAGCAGCTTGTGTACATGTGTGTTATATATACTCCCTTAAACTGAATTATAGATTGCAATGGAAACTGTGTCAAAATTATATCTTCTGTAGCTGGTGTGTGTGAGAACGTGTACGTACGTATACGCGCGTGCACACACACTATAGATCAAATTGACATGGATTGCACCACAAGGTCTACCATTTACAATTTTGTTTGGGTTTAGTAAGAAATTTACTATGGGTGTACATTTATTGAGATTTAACAATGATTGTATTTAAGAAATACATAACAGATCAGAAATCTACAAATTGCCTGAATCTGCAGACAAGCTAAGCGGATAGGATGGACAATTTAGAAGGGGAAGATAAATTGCCTGACTGAATCCAATACTGGACCCTATACAACAGTTAAAGAAATATCAAAGATGGTAATAAATTGGTTATTGTTGTGATAACTAAATATAAAATTTCTGTATCGTTCAAGTCCCGGACGAGTATTATGCTTCAATTGGAACCCACAACTATGAACCTGAATCAAGTGATTTTTCCCCATAAGTCTCTGGTTTACTGATGAAAGTATGTTTACATGCCACTATGAAATATCCTTCTTTTCTTCAATTGAAGAAAGTTTCATTAATGCCTCAGTCATTCTTCAGGACTAAGGTGAATGAGGCAAAGGGGAAAGACAGCAGAACAAAAATTACGAGGCAGTTTTTTTTTAAACCAATATATCTATATATACACACACACCATTTAGGAATGTATCAGAAAGAATGAACAAAATAGTAGATATGTCTGAAAACACCAAATAGGGCACAGACACCTTAGGGCCATTCCTGCATTTGTAGTCTCGTAATAAGAGCATGGTACTAAGAATCAGGAGATTTTGGTTCTAATGCCAGTTCTCCCAATGAGTTATCTAGCTGTGGACAATTCACTTAACCTTTGCCTCAGTTTCCTCATTTCTAACAGGGTAATAGTCACGAATCTACATCACACAGGATTAATTAGTGCTTTGGACTTGTAATTATTGTTGCAGGCCCTATGCTCAAATACCACAAAGAAGGGCATAAGAAGCAGCATTGAACTGAATATGAAGGCAAAATTCCCATTGACTTCCATGTTTATCTGCACCAGGTCTGTATGCTTGGGCCTAATAATTAAACAAAAATGTACTTTCTTTAGCTGGAAAGGTAGAAAGTGTGTGCTTTTAGTTAGGTACAATACTCCATTTTCATTTAATTTATTTAAACATTTCATCTGTTTGGGCATATAGTATTTTGCTTGCTGTTAGCAAAATGTTATTAGTATTTAAGAAGATAAGTGAGATAATTTCATCTTCAGTATAAAATATAGTCACATAGGGCTGGATTGTGAAGCCTACTAATGTGGTGTAGTACCTTACTCTGTAAGTTGTCACACTGATTTTATTTGCTTGACTTGAGAAGTAAGGTGCTACTCAAGGTGAGCAAGGGTGGCAGTCTCTGGTCCCCTTATTTTTACCTGTGATATTGATGCATTAGGCCCTGATTCAGCAAGGCACTGATTCAGCAAGCACATGGCTAAATTTAAAGTGTACAAGTAGTCCATTGACTTCAGTAGGATAACTCCGGTGCTTAAAGTTCAGCACATGCTTAAATACCTTGTAGAAACTGGTTCTACAAAATCCTTGCACTGGTTTGAACAGTTACATGTCCTTAACCTGATTCCGCTCTCTGTTATACTGAAGTAGGGTTGGATAAGTAAAGCTGAGAGAAGTATTTAGCCATTCTGTTTTCTATTTGGTAACAGATTTTGTTACTTAATTGATCTAAATCACAAATTCATGGGTGAGCATTTCTAAAATCACGGCACTGTAAAAAGTCCTGCAGAGCATGAGACTTAACAGTGGTTTCTTTCAGGCCGCCATTTTGTGATAAAGTGAAATTGCTGTCTGAATCACATGCATAGAACTGGAAAAAAAATTATTTTTGTCTATGTACAACTATGATGGTGTTCTGCACAAAAGAAGAAAACACTCGTTCTCTCCATAAAGTGTTTGCATTAATCAATATTCATGCAGAGTACAAAAGAAGTACTTACAAACATACTTTCAAATGTCTTGACAGCTCTGTTGAGGTTATAAAAACCCATTAGGAAAATGAAACTGTAGCAGGTCCGTGTCCATCTCTCCTCTGTTTCTCAGAATGGGCGGGGTGATGAGAAAGAAGCTTGAGCTGAAATATCCTGTGTGGAACTTCAGACTCATGCAATGCAGAGGATAAAAAGGGGAAGTAAGCAAAATGTGTAGGCTATGGGCTACTGATGGGATGTATTTCACCAGCCTACTGTTACTGTCAAGGCACCAGATTGTATTAGCAGTTTATCCAGTCCCCTAAGCTGTAGGATGTGGATAATGGGATTGGATAAAATGATTAAAATAATTTTGTCTCATGATTTCATATTGTAAAAGCAATATGTGCAAAACTGAAATATTTAATTGTATGATGAAAGCACAAGCACCACTTTTTGTTTTACCTTTACTTTTATTCAACATGGAGAAGTATTTCCTTCTGTACATTTAAAAATAAATAAATAAAATAAAAGTCATGACTGTGCAGTCTTCTAGCTGAAATCAATTTATTTTAACCAGTAAAATAAGCTTGAAACTAATTTTTTTTGCATGAAATATGTGAAGACTTTGTTTAAAATGGTCTTCAAAAGAAGATTGCAGTTACATTATTTGCAGGGTTGTATGATATTTAAGAAATCTGGTGATTTTCCAGGATATGTTGTCCATATGCTGAGGTTTAACTTCAAATTTCAAGTATTATTTTTAGACCATTTTAAACTATTTTTTCCTGAAGGATAATTTGCAAAGGAGAGCATTTTAAAGAGAAGTATAGTGAATGACAACAGTAAGGGAGAAGATAAGCTGTTCCCAAAGTTTATCCAAAGACATAAGGGTTAAAATTTCAGATCTTCATAGAAGTGGGAAAAAAATTGCAGTTTTTAAAAAAAAAAAAAAAAAAAAGGAGAGTGAAGCTGCTGGTGACTTGAGTGTATTTATGGATTACTATGTCTTGAAAAGAAGAAAACCAGAGTTGTAAGATGACACTGCAGGGGTTGTCTGGACTTTTCACTGAGTGTGAAGTCTGTTTAGTCAATGCCTTAATGACCTTTGCCCTCTTCATTCCCCTCCCTTGCCCCCCCCCCCCCGCCCCCGGCTCCAGGTGCAACATTTTTGCAAGTGCTTTAAACTTTATTGGAAAGTTTGTGCAGGTTTCACGCACGCTGCAAAGTGCACAGGGTATTTTACACATCATCATCAGAAACATACGACATCAAGGCTTAGCTTTTTTTATTTATTTAGAACACACAGACTTGTTTTATGTGTTCCTCCTCCCCATCCCCCCATTAGCTATTACCACATTAAATAAATAAAGAACAAAATTGTATTTTAAAGAATTCTCCTTCTTGTGGATCTCGGACCGTACCTCTAAATAGCCAAATGCAAGATTAATGTGCCATACCAGTTAATTTTAGCCAGTATGGTAAATTATAGAAAGGCTATGCAAGATACAGCAGCAACATTATTGACCTCTTAAATTAATTTTCTTTGCTATGGAAATGTAAAACACAAAAACAAGAGAAGCACTTTGGCTAACTGATGTTCTCAGAAACAAATTGATTTCTTGTACTATTAATTAGACCTTGGCTGATATAAATATAGAGAAAAACTAACGTATATAGTTTAGTAATAAAGGGAGCCATACTACATCAAGACTATAATTCAGGTTTGGATTTTAAAAAAATAACTGGATGAACTTCTTCTGGTGTATCTTCAATAAATAACATTATAAACTAAATATGCCATGTGTTATACATACACCATGTAACATTTCATTTGTGTGTGTGTGTGTACCCTAGAGGTTTGATACATCCTTACTGAAATTGCCTGTTTACTAAATTAGGCTACAAGTGTCACCATCTTTCATGCAAGATGTAAAAATGGTATCCTAACCTATGCATCCATTAAAGATTCTATGGCACTTTCTGTAAGAGTAGGGATTTTTTTTCAGCTGTTTTGGTAAATTCCATCTCCAGGGATGCTTTTTACCCCCACATCTGTGTCCTGCTAAGAGATTGCAACTGTTTTGTTCAGGTGTGAACCTGGCTACAATGATTTCACCTTGTGATGTGATTGCTGAAATGCACTCTACACTGGCATAGGAATTTAAAAATCAAGATGAAAACTTAAGTTGGTGACTGTCCATTTGGTAAGGGGCAGCTATGCAGGCTATTTCTGGGGAGAACAAATTTAAAAGTTGACCTAGAAAGCTTTAAATGGCTTCTCTGCCAGGGTCCTTACTTTTAGGAACACACTCCCACCACTGAGATTCAAAATAGACCAGGACTGCTGAGCCTCAGGGTATGCTCCAAGACTGATGTCTTCACTTTAATATTTGGGTAGGATGAGTTTGAAGAAGGTTTCAAGTTTAGATTTTTGAAGGGAAGTTTTTGGCTGGGTGTTGAATTTCATATTGGGTTAAAGATTTTAACTGGACTGTTTTTTCTAAATATGTCAAAGCCACACCTAGGGTAACATAGGTGCCTTTTAAAATATTTTGTACTTTTAATTATATATTTAGATTTATATTAAAAACTTTTTCCACCTATATTATCACTGTAGTTTCAATTGGATGCAGCTTCTGTGCCCTACATTGTTGCATGGTGATGGGTGTGCTGCAGCGGTCATATTCCACCCAAGGGATGGCTGCATTCACTGATGAGTGACATGGTTGAGTTCAAGATTCTTTGGAACTAGTATTCAAGTGCAGCCTATTCTTGAAGTAGGCTCAAGTCAGAAAGGTTCCCAAAGCTCTAGGAAAGAATTAAAGCCAGCTTTCTGTTTTGGTCTCATCTCCATGTATACTGTACAGACTCGAAAAAAGTGTCAGAAAAATATGGAAACTAGGGTCTTGAATGGCATGTTCAAAATCTCTTTCCAAACCTACGCAGTGGGTTTTTTTTTCCAGCACAGTGTGTTCCTGTTAACAATGCAGCTGTTAACATGTCATCAATACTCTTTGTTTGAGAACACATTAAAATGAAGGAAGAGTTTGTTAAAGTGATTTTAAATGTAAACGTGTTACTATACTATGGAACTGGAATTGATTTCTACCAAAACTATTCCTTTTCCCTCCTGAAATGACATGCGTTGTTTTCAAGTCCGCAATTTAGTGCAGGTATTCAATTTTACTGAAGGTCAAATACACTTGTCAAAATTATATTTTTTGCATAGCTGAGAATTCAAATAATTTTGTGGACCAAAAATGGACAGATCTTGTCTTTGTGATGGAAATACGTAGCAGCATAGAGCTGGGATCGGAATAAAAGAGAATGAAGTAGTATTATACACTATGTTCATGTAACATCATAGTGAGACCATCACCAATTTTTGTTTTGCTGTATATGAGGAGATACCCATCCAGACACTCGATTTTTGTTATTGTGGAATTTTTTGTACCAATAAGTGCTTGCACATAAGTTTTATTTTGGTTTTACATCCTAGATTTCTTAATTATACTTGCAATAAATACTTACAGATGCTAACTGCAGGAATATGTTATCACCTCTCTCCTATATGACATGGATATGCCTAGGATATGTCCCAGGATGGCTTATATCTCTCATGTATCACTTATCATCATGGTATCAGAGAGCCTTCCATGCTGAATTGGCAAGGGTTTTGAGAAGGCTAGCTAACCCTACTCATAATGGAAAACAAATCTCTACACTGCCTGAACCAACCAGGGGAGCAAAGCACACTAAGCTTTATTTAGTTAGTTAATAACATTATAAGTAGGGCTGCCAAGTGATTATTTTTTTAAATCATGATTAATGGCATTGTTAAACAACAATAGAGTATCATTTATTTAAATATTTTTGGAGGTTTTCTACATTTTCAAATATATTGATTTTAGATATAACACAGAATACAAAGTGTACGGTGTTCACTTTTTATTTATTTTTTATTAAAAATATTTGCACTGTAAAAAAATAGTATTTTTCAATTCACCTTCTACAAGTATTGTAGTGCAATTTCTTTAACATGAAAGTTGAACTTATTAATGTAGAATTTTGTACAAAAAAAA